TTAGTGTTGTTTTTGAAACCAAATAAGGACTAAATCTATGCTGTATGTAATTTTTCTGTAATTGGTAACATATCAGAGACTGTAAGGGTCTGTATGTGTTCATATTTGTAACATTTATTTATTTATTTCATTTAATCACAGACGTTACAGTAGGCTATTTGCTATCATTGATCTGCAGTTATAATCAAATCATGTTCATAGAAAGGTTAGTAACAATCATTTATACACAAGTATTTATGTGTATAATGCATCTGTTTTGTATACACATATACACAAGTATTTATGTCTATGCAGCATCTGTTTTGTGAGAAGTGCTTCTCATATGATATGTGAACGACCCTTATGGCTTTACTGTGACATTTCTACAAGTGAAAATGACATCATCTGTAGCTTTCTGTCATACACCACGCCCACCAAAAGGGTACCCTTTTGGCAGTGGAAATGCAAACTTGATAACCAAAAGTCAACAATCAAAAGAAGACAACACCGGAGTGAATACAGAGTGTTCGCCACAAGATGTAAACCATTGGTGAGCCTCAAAAACAGCGTTCCAGACTTCAGGTTGTAATTGGCAAAAGATTTGCAACCAAGTATTAGAAAAGTGAAAGTTGGATTTATTGTTATTATTCTTTCCAATTACTTTTGGACCATTAACAAGTGGGAGGCACGTATGCAAACTGCTGTAATTCCTACAGCGTTTACCTGATTTGAATGTAAATAACCCCAAATTAAAGCTGACAGTCTGCAGATAAAGCACATCTTGTTAGTTTAATTTCAAATAAACATTGTGTATAGAGCCAAAATGTTAGAATTGTGTCGATGTCCGAATATTTATGGACCTAACTGTACGTATGCAAACATTGCCAGTGTGTCTCAATCCCTCAGCACCAAGCCAACAGCCATGAGGGAGAGCAGCAGCTTTTACAAGTCAGTGGGTGGCACGTGGCTTCTGAACAGTGAAAAAGTGGATTTTGTTTCTTTTTTATTTTACTTTTATAAAATAACCTATTGAAAGTAAATAGTTTCATGTAAATTGTGTAATAACCAACTAATAAAAAGTTATCATTTATTCAGGGTTTCTGCAAGATTCAGCAAGTTACATTTAAGACTTTTAAAAACATTTTTAAGACCATTATGAATTAAATTTTAGACTCATAGGGGTAAACACTAAGGAGTTTTTTGAATGGCCCAGTTGGAAAAGAGTTTTATTTGCCCTATCATATTATATATAATTTGCCCTATCATATTATACATATAATATTTTAAATAAAATTTAATAATTTTAATAATACAATAATAATAATAATAATAATAATAATAATAATAATAATAATAATAATAATTAATAAATGAAAAAAATTATATTTTAGTTAATTCAGACCAAAATTTTTATATTGTGTCAAAACATGCAAGCTCTATTTGTATACATACATTTTTTCATTATAACCTTTTAATTAAAAAATTTGAAAAATGTTTTAAAAGTTTTAAAAACTAACTTTTAATAAACTAAATGTATGCACAACAGGCTGTCAAGTTCAGCTTCCTCAGTAAATACATGGAGAACTTTTAAACAAATGTTTTTGTAAGGAAAATAATAAAACCATTATTGTAATTAGAGTTAAAAAATTACATCCTTAAATAGAAAACTTCAAAGTTTTATTGAGATGGATTATTAATGATTGTGGTGTTGGCCGGATTGGGTAGCAATACAAAGACAAATTAAGAGCTGTTTGAAAAAAGATTGAAGACCTACAACACAATATTTCAGTAAATTTAAAACTTTAAGGCCTAAAAATTTGTTTTTGAGATTTAAAACCTCACGGGCACCCTGTTATTTTATCGGCGAGGAGCAGATGTTTAATGGAAAGGGTGTTTCTGGTGTTGCTTCACCCAAAAACAAAAATAACATTATTAATTTATTAATGCTGTTCCAAACCCCTAAGACTTTAGTTTGTCTGTGGAACACAAATTAAGATATTTTATGTGAAATATATGAGCTCCCTCATCCTCCTTGACAGCAATAGTCCTGACTGGGACAATAACCATTTTCAAGGTATACCACGGTTTGAAAAAGTCAAGGTTTTAAACCGCCAAGATTTTCTGTTATACCATTCCTACCTTTTTTAGGTTTTTAGGACAAAAGTATCTCCATGCAGAAAAGATATTTTAAGATGCCGCTTTAAATTGAAAAGAAATCTTTGTTTCAAGAACTAATGAAGGCAGCAGAAGTCAATGATTTATTTAAATTATTTAGCCTGACATGTTTACAGCTCCAAAATATTATAAATGTTTCTCAAAATAAAATATATTGTGTTCAAAGGGGGAAAAGGGTTTTGTTTTTTACCCATACAAATAAAAAGAATATATTTTAGAGCAGTAGTCACAATACCGTGAAACTGTGATATTTTTATCCAGGGTTATTATACCGTCAGAATCTTACACAGGCCTATGCCCCGACTAAAAAAAAAAATCAAGAAACATCTACAAAACCTACCACATGGCATTGATGGTTCAATCGGAATATTATTAAGCTACGAGAATACTTTTTTGTGAACATAAAATAAACATTATGGCTTTATAACAATGGTTTCTTCTCAGTATCTATAATATATGGTTTCTTCTCAGTATCAGCATAGGAAACAGCTTGCTGTACATGAAGGATGAGGGAGCTCTCAGATTTCACATAAAATATCCTTATTTGTATTCAAAATATGAACAAAAGTCTCATGGGATTTAAATGGCATGAGGGCAATTAATAACATATAACTAATAATGTAGTTCAGTACTACAGTTTCATAGAATGCATGTCACAAATTTACAACCCCAACACTATCCACCCCTCACTGCCCTGCAACCGTCTTTTTTTTTGCTAAATTAAATATAATAACCCTAGCCAAAGTCAAACTTTAGTTTAAGACCCTGCAGTGTTCACTTTCTTTATTTACCACTTGCACATCATTGCCTTATTAGCTGCAAATGCTTAGGTCTACAATCCTAAAATGTTATGACACATTCTCCATTGTCTCACCATCAGCAGAGTCAGTATAACCTTTAGATAAGCTACATTTTTAAATATACACACATAAATATGACTCTTTATTGACCAGGAATGCAAAAACTGAAACCTTTCCTCCCAAAAAAAGGTTCTTTATATTGAATTTTTCAATTTTAAAAATGTTCTACGCAATTATTTTTAGGGACTATTCAACCAAAATTACTCCTGCATTGCTACAAATCCCCATTTTGGAGGCTTTATTTTTAATCATGTATCTTGGTGAAGTTTTAGGATGGAAGATATCACCAACTTTGCCATTCAATTCCATAAAACCTCTCAGTTTTTATTCTTGACAAGCATTACTGGGCACTCTTCCTGACTTGTGTATTGACGGCTATGAAAATGCTAATTCATCCAGATACAGAATGCATGCTGTTCCTTGTAAATTACTCATTAAAAAAGCATATGACAAGAAAATAAATTTAAATTTTAAAGCAAGAATGAATTATCCAGCCCATTCAGATTCTGTCAGCATATTTGAATAAGTAATGGGATGAGGGGTGGATGTCCAAAAGCAATATGAGATCAACTTCATCTGCACTCAGATGTGAAATTCTTCCACTCGCTGCATCGATTAAACATTAAAGGATGATCACGATGACAGGGAGCTCAATGAATACAAACATTTGCATCTTGCTACTACAGAGACTGTATAAAAAATTAGGTACAGCCTTTTTTCCTCTGATGAGACACGCTCTGCGTCAGATTTGTAGAGTGTGTGGGAGATCTAGAGACCCTCGGAGGTCAGAGAGCTGCCCACGGCAAATGTCAAGGCATGGTATTATGAGCTATAATACAACACTGCATAAAAAGCACACACATGCCGAGTCCATCACACAGAACTTTCTGCTTTAAACGTATACAAATAAATTGTCTTCGAAGTTTGTAATATCTATGTAAGTAAAACAGAGGGAATTGCAGTAATCATGTGTGACCTCTGCTGGTGAGGTCTTTTCTCACAGAACCTGTGGCAGATTCACATGGAAAATGTACTGTATGTGACACAAAATGACTCTGCAATTCACGCCACAGGCGACAAGCCCTTCACAGATGAGAAGATCCGCTACAGAAGAGCCAAGAAAAACAGCATCACCTTTAAATGAACTTCTGCTGTGATCACAAACAATTTAACTATAAAAAATAGACCAGATAAATCCATGATGGATCTAGACCCTCTTTGATTGTTTGGATGAATTATTAACAAACGATGCTATTAATATTAATGTTAAAACTGACAATAGGCTATATTTTGTTATAAAGTGATTACAAAGAATTAATAGTTTACAATATGAAACACGCACAAAATAAAATACATATGATTACAGTGGTTAACCACACTAAACTCAAAATACCAGTTTAATTTCTGTTTTAAAGTTTACATATGAGCTAAAAAGACTGCGTGTGTGACTCCACACAGAATCCACGCACTTTTGACGCAAATAAATAGTTCCCCTTGTGAGATTAGTCGCAATAAGCGTAGGTTGTAGATGTCATAAACTCTTTCTGATGCATTAATATATTAATGCTGTAATGTAATGAACAGCAACAGTAAAGGCACATTTATATTTTGGGAAGGGACTGGGCAACGTGCTAGCTACTGACCGGTATTAATTATTATTATGGTAATGATGCGACCACGTTTAGCCCTCGGTTGTTTTTCTGATGTCGTTTTAGCTTTTATTAAACACTCAATAAAAAGAGTGTAAAGTAAATTACGCGTGCCATTTATAAATACCCCAGCTTACTTTGATCAGATAAATAATCCAGTTTCCATTTTTAAAACATATAAAGGAACTCACGAGCTTTAATTTTACGCATAATTCTGAGTTAAAGTTCAAAAAACAAACAGACATGAGTACAGAAAAAGCGCAAAACACATCTTGAGGCATCACGACACTTTCCGCTTAATCAGGTTCTGCAAATCTGAAGAAAGCGATCATCTTACCACTTGAGCGACGGACAACATTCTCCAAAAAAGTGTTCTGTGGTGCCACCAGTCCTCTTTTTCCCCCGTGCATTCTGCGGCCGGGCAGCGTCGGTCAGGCTCGCGGAGTTGGTGGAAGCTGGTCGTTAAAGTGATGCAGGCGGTGGGATGGGAATCTATCGGTGGGATGGAGAAGATCATGGTAACGCTGCGCCGTGCCTGACTGGTATGGGTCCTTTGTACCACGGAGCGCTCGCAGTTCTGCAGGCTCCGCGCTTCCCTGGTCTGCGCCTGCGCACTTGAAAGCTGTAACAATAAAAATTGGCTGGCACAGGAATCTCGTGCGAGATGCCCGGTGCCATGGAAATAGTCACATGCAACAGATAGTGCTCATTGCGCGCGATTTATTAAATTGAAAACTCTGACAGAGTTACTGTAAGTGAAGGGAAGATAAGTTAAAACTAAAATACAAAAACTGATGAATAGATAGATCAAGAAGAGATGCCTTTCTGTGGAATTACAGCTGATGCTGATCGTATTTTCGCCGATTGCGTCAATAGGCTATCAATCTCATTAAAACAAAGTAAGTTTTATTTACGTTATTAAAAATAAAGGCTCATTAATGCTGACGTTGTTTGTTTAAAGAACCTGTGATATCCAAAGAACAGCTCTGCTCCACAAACGGTTCTTCAAAGTGAAATATATTCATTTGAAAGTTTTAAATTAATTTTAAATTAAATTTTAATATTAAACCATCTTCTTAAATATAGCCAGCTTTGAAACTAATGAAAATTAGTTTTAACATTAATTAAAATTTGTTTATACACATCATGTAGTCTAATCATTTAAAAAGCCACATTTTTTCTTACACATTTTTGTATCAACGAGGTCACGCCGTTTTAAAATGTAATTTTAGATTTTAAAAACCTCAAGAAAAATAGAAAATTAACAAACTAAACTTTAGCTTCTATGAATACAATGAATTAATATTGTTTATAGTATCAGACAAATATGGTACTACTTTTCCATAGCTGATTTTTTTCAATATTGACAGCTATATGACAACAAGTGTATGGTTAAAGCCTGTTTTATCATTATGACACTGTCACTATATGACCTTACATCTTATGTTGAACATGTATTTTTTGGTAATAATCAAAAATAGACTGACTGGGTCTGAATAATTGATTTTTAATTTATGCCAAAATCATTAGAATGTTAAGATCATTTTCCATTAAGATATGTAGTAAATTTTCTACTGTAAAATTTAGAAATTTATTTTGTATTATTAAATAGCATTGCTTAATTTAGATAACTTCAAAGGTGATTTACTCAAAATCTAGATTTTTCTAGATTTTAAAGTATTTGTTTCTCAGCCAAATATTGTCATGTCTTAACAACACAAACATCAATGGAATGGTTATTTATTTAGCTGTCAGCAGAGATGATCAAAGTACACACATCCTTTACTCTATAGAAGTACACATGTCTATAATGACGCTGATAAAAATTGACTAGATTTTTGTACTCAAGTAAAAGTAAAGAAGTGCGGCGTGAAGTATGTACTGTACTTAAAGGGCACCTTTGGTGAAAAATCTACTTTTCAAGCTGTTTGGACAGACGTGTCATGTGTCTTATTGGGGTGATATAAACACACCCAGTCCTTTTTTTTCAATTAACAACATAAAAACGGTGGACCAATTGGAGCGGTTTTTAGATCGACCACAGCTTGACGTAGGAGTGCGCTCCCTCCGCCCACAAATATTGATTGACAAGCACATGTCACCTAATCCTCAGTTTGTCTTTTCACATCCGCCATTTTCAGCGAGTGAGTCAAAGCGATGTCACTAAAGGAAAACTATTATTAGATGTAAGGCTCATTGGGCTCAACACAAGATTAGAATTCACCACATGATCGCTGTAATCGGAATTAGTGTTTGTAACTTAGTTTGTTTGTATTTAGGTTTGTACACTAGTGTACTTTTCATTGCGTCTATTCTTAAACTTCAGTCGTTTACATTTCTTGAGTTCACAGAAGCTACCTGTGAGTGTGATCTTAACTAGGTGTAGCTGTAAAGTGCGAGCGCCTTTGCCTCACGTGAGTGTCGCTCCATTGGAAATAAAATAAGAAACTTGCATGCAGGTCATACACCATAAGTCCCACTCACCGACGCGCAACATCGCGCCACGCAGTGCCATGCATTTTAGAATTCTAAAAATAGGTTTCTATATGGGTACACACAGCAGCGCTTCAAGTCGGCGGCTGTCCACGGCGCCCAGCTAGGATTCGGGACACTTCATGTTTCTGCCGCGCCACAGAGAGCCATTTCTGAATAGTTTCATTTTAAAAAACATGCAAATGTCCGTGTCTGGTGTGCCGTGTCACAGCTCTAAGCGGGTCATCCGGTGCCTCAGTCAAAGTTAATTCAGTGTGCGTGGTTATTAGTCTCGGTGTACAAGCTTGGAACTTTAAACTAGCACAGAGTTGGCTCTAAAACTATACAAAGACACAAATGTTTGTGTACTCTCTGCTTGGTCTGTGTCCAAGGCGTACATGTACGGCTGAATGCTGATCCTCTCATGCTGCTTCTCTCTCTCTGTCTGCCTGTTTGTTGCCAAACGCTAGCGTGGAAGCTCTTGGCTCCGCCCCCTTGTTATGTTGGGTGGGAATTTGAAACTAATTTTCATGTGATGCAACACACCCCTAAAACAGCGAGCTGTGAACACGCCACCAAAATAACAGTTTAATACATTATAATAAAAAAATCTGAATTGTATTTTAAACTGAACCTAAACTGGCACACTCAGAAGAACCATATTATTAATATTAAATCATAAAAAGGGGTAAACTATGTGCTCTTTAAGTAAAAAGTAATTATTACTACCTTTTTAGATTCACAGTAGTAACACTGTACATCATGTACAGTTGTGCTCGAAATATCACATATCCCTTTAAGATTGTTAAAACGTGTATAATTTGAACATATCAAGAGAGATCATACAACATTCTTGTTATTTTTTTATTTCGTATTGTCCCGAGTAAGATATTTAACATAAAAGGTGTTTATATATTTTACAACACCGAAATTTAGCTGAAATTATTAAAATAACACTACAAACGTTTACATGCTTTTTAATACTATGACTGGCTTCTGCTTTGTGATGGTTGTTTATAAATCTCTTGTTTGTTCTGAACAGCCAAACTGACTGCTGTTCTTCAGAAAAATCCTCAATCTCTTTTGCAGATCTGAACCCTTTCCAGCAGTGACTATATGATTGTGAGGTTCATCTTTTCACCCTGAGGATGATCTTGAGACTCAAACACAAGGTTTAATGTTACTTTCCATCTCTGGCTGTCAGGTAATGTATACACCTGATTCTCAAAAGTACATTTGTGGCTGGTTTGTGATCCAGAGTCACATACTGTGTGTTTCTCAACCAAGTTCCTGGAGGCGCACCAGCACTGCACGTTTTGGATGTCTCCTTTGTCTGTCTAACCCATTACAGGTCTTTCAGTCTCTGCTAATGAGCTGATGATCTGAATCATGTGTGTTTGGTTAGGGAGACATGGAAATGTGCAGAGCTGGTGGTCCTCCAGAAACGTGGTTAAGAAACATTGCTGTATATGAACATTGAATACATTATTATGAATGAAGCTTATTTATATTGTTAAAAGGCTGGACATTTTGACTCAGATCGTGGTAGTTATATAGAAAGAAAGAAAGAAAGAAAGAAAGAAAGAAAGAAAGAAGTTGAATGAATGAATGAATGAATGAATGAATGAATGAATGAATGAATGAATGAATGAATGAATATCCAGCCATCCTTCCGAGTGGCGCCATATTTTAGGAAATGCGGTTGCATTCGGGACGTCCTCCCGCCCCTCCTGCGCCGCTGAAGTCCCCTGTTGAGCAGGCTGAGCGTGGACAGAGCCCCTATTGTTCCCAACCCACTCCTGCCTTATATGGAATTCGCTTGGAAACCAATGATTTCCTGACACTGACGATGCGTAGCCGCGTAGGGGCGATTGTGGAAAGCTGTTTGGAGTTTGAGGGGGAATAAACCGGGGCCACAGACCCGGCTTTTGGAAACGGTTTAATTGTCGGAGCAGCAGCATGTAAGACAGCGGAATGCAAGTTGTAGGAGTTCTCGAGAGTTTTCATGAAACTGCTGTCGATGGCACCGGATTGTTTTGGAAGCGCGAGCTAACGTGTGGCTCTCCGACTTGACGGATTTTGCGTGCGCACCCGAAAGACACGAGACGCGTAAACTCGAGTGACTAAACTGGTCAAACGAAGATTAAACGCATCAGAGATTGATACGTCAACACTTGGCTACCTGTGGTGAAAACAGTCCTGGACTTGTCCAACTATCATGCCTACACTCAGCTCGAAAAGTAGGCAGAACGCGTTGGAAGCGGCTGAGGATGGAGGCAGTAACAGCGATCCTGTCAATACCACTGCCAAAAAGATGTTGAAATGCGTTGTGGTCGGCGATGGAGCCGTGGGCAAAACCTGTTTGTTGATGAGTTACGCGAATGATGCTTTTCCTGAGGAATATATACCGACTGTGTTCGATCACTACGCAGGTAAGATGGTTTAGCTGAAGCCCCTGTTTATAAAGTGCGGTTTATACAGTATGTTCACCTAATCCTTGTCTGCCACCCCCCACTGCCGTCAACTAGGGGACGGTCCCAAGAATAGCCGTCTGAAAGAGGAGATAACAACTGCCAGAGCGGGGACTGAGGCCCGACACACTGAAGAAGTATACAAACCGAGCGCGCGCGTTATAGTTTTGGATATCGTAAATCTACCATTATACTTTACACCCAAAGTCAAATCTATGCATATATGTACCTTATTCAGCATTTAGACACACACACACATTTTACAATACTTCAAAAATGTCAGAAGGTGTTAAAAATCTCAGTTTTGCATCCGTCTATATCACACATTAAATTGCTTTAATTAGTGATACAGCTTATCTACACTGTTTGCTTTGTTGATGACGAAAATACAGTCTTTGCGTGAGACTGGTGCTGTAGTCAGTGCTGCAACCTGTTGATCAAAGTAACAGGCAGAATGTGAGCTTGTCAGGTGTCATTTGTTTGTATTTATGATGATGCCTACATGTTGATGCTCACAAATGTGTTGTCATCACGCTGTTCTTTGTGGATCACAAGCATGCAGGCTGTGGTTTCTCTACAAGGAAAGTCCCCATGACACTTGCATGCACCCAGAATCCTATGAGGGTCAAGTCCTAATTACACAGTGGCTCACAGGTCAACTTCAACATCCTGTAAGAGTGGATACAGCTTTGTGAGAACAGCATGACATTTCCCCACAACAAAGAAGTTACTTGAAAAACTTTTCAATTCTTTCTCCAAAATCTGAAACCAAAAATCCAAATTGAAAAATGTAAAATATATGCTCCAACCTGTATGGAGTGCTACAAAAGTACTATGTTCTCAATGCAGTATATGCTTTTATTATTAAAATAAAGTGTTACAACTTTTACAGAAAGTAATGAAAATATAGGGAGGAGAAAGATTCTGTCGTTTTATTTTATATTTACACTTTGCTAAATCTCTCATTCAGAGTTTTCTGGTGATACCACAATGGCCGAGAGTGACACATTTTTTCTGGTGCTGTATAAAAAAACAGAGATTCTTGATCCTAATTAGCATAGACTATTAAACACAACCATTTCGAATTTTAGCCCTGGAGCATTTTAGGGTGTGTTCATACTTTTGGTTGGTTTGGTTTGAGTAAAACTGACTGCAATTGCTCTGTTAGTGCAGTTCACTAATAGAGCAAGTGTGAACACTTATGCACACCAGACACCAACAGATTAAGACCATCTCAAAAGATGCATCTGCATCTGCTATGATTTTTGTGTGAATTGACAGAAATATGAACATAACACAAAACAAACCTGGTAATACTGCTCATTGCAGTATGGTAAAGCATGCAGCAAAGCTTTGCTTTTGGTTTATGAGACTGAAATTGCTGTTGCTGTTTTGACTTTTTTTATACACGGACACCATTGTTTTGGATGTTCAGTTTGTTAGAAAGTATACATTCGTGTTCCAGTATTCAATTTAGATCAATCATCCACCAAAATAGACAGAAAACAACTCTGTGGGCTTACTGTGGCTTTTTTGTAGCTCCTGTTATACTACACTATCATTTTGAGCAAGACTCACAGTTTCAATTGTTCTGAATTGTTCACAGTTTCATATGTTCATATTATTCTGAAATATGTTTTTCTGACCAAATATGTTCTCTTGACCTGAATTTGTTCTTCTGGCTTTTGCTCCAGTTTATTCTATAATTCATTACAAGAGGCATTAGCACATCGTATTTTACGTATTGACAAATTTATTAATTGTTTAGAGATTGCATTGGACAAAGCCTTGTTCTTTGGTTGATTGGGTCAGTTGACTCTTCACCCCAAGTAAAACACTTTAGAGCTTGTTCAGTTAGGCCAAGACCACCTCTATAAGGTGGTCTCTCAGTGAGTCTTTTTGTGCAAATCAGGGGTCTAATTTAAAAACTTGCATAAGAACCTTCTCAAAAGTAAATGTACTGCAGAATAAATGCAATTTATATAGAAATGATTATGGCTCATATGATGATTTAAAGTGGTTTAATTAGGTCAATATTTAAGTTATACAGTATATGTTTAATTAAAGTTTACTTTCAGCTGGGCACATTCTTCTGTTCAATTTGTGCCATGATTATAATAGAGACCCCTTATATGTCCATATATCAGGGTGTCAGCGGGGTCTGAAAAAGTCTTACATTTCAAAATTAAAATGTTAGGCCTTAAAAAGTCTTAAGTTTACTGAAATATTAGTTGTGGGTCTTAAATCATATTAAACAAATCATAATTTTCCTCTGTCCAAGTAAAGCTACCCAATCGGGCCTCCATTAATCAATCATCAACAATCCATCTTAATAAAACCCCTTTTTTAAAGTTTTTTTTTATTGCAAAGAGATACAATTCAAAACAGCTGTTAGACATTTTTACAGCAAATTCTCCAAATTAAATTTCCTAATTTCCAGGGAAAAGAAAACAATTACACAGTTCCTCATGATAATAACAGATGAATATATCCCTTTACATTATCTTCCATTCATACAAAAACTATTCACAAAAGTAAGAGTGGAAGTAGACATTATATTTATAAATAGGCATCCAACTTAAGGTTTTATAACAGAAATGCATTAGGTTGAATAGAAGTTATACTCAATCAATTTGGACTAAAAGCCAACAAATATGTATTTTTAACTATTTATATAATTGTCTCCACAAATATTATATTTTTCACAAACTTGTTGAAAACAAAAAGTTTTCTTGTTTTGACACAAGTATGTCGCCAAGAAATAATGACATTTGATTTTGTTTTTTTGTGGCAAGCAAAAAATTTTATTCATAATGGTCTTTAAAAGTCTTAAATTTGACTAGATGAAACCTGCAAAAACCCTGATTAATGATTAATCATACCAAAAGGAAAGTAAAAACTTGCCAGGTAAAGGTGCATTCACATCGGACAAATTTCCTCTCTATACTTTGGTCCATGGTGGTGTTATAGTTTATTCCAAGCGACACATTTATACTACATTTATAAAAATTGCCTCATGAAAGTGAACTAAAATTGCTAATTTGATCCAATTCTAAACCCTATCAGAGAACAAGCTACAAGTATGAAAATAAAACATTCTGTTTTTGAGAAAGGAACCAGGAGAAGACACCAGTGTGGACACAGATCTATAATTTAGATTTCAATTTAAATTATGGCTCTCTGATTTGTGAATTTTTAAACTCACTTAAAATGATCAATTTAACTCATAAGAACTTAAAAGCAGGTGTTGTCAAATGATCTTCTATTGCACATTTCTTTCTGATGTGTTAAATGATCGAATATCTGGCCTGTGTCAGAAAAAAGAACACTTTTGTGTTGTAACTTCCTCCAGCTGAACAGTGCTGGGTCAGGACAAACAGACAGACTGAACTCATTCATTCATTCATTCATTCATTCATTCATTCATTCATTCATTAAACCGCCATGAACACATTCAAGGAGTGAGTAAAACTTTTAAACTCTTGGGAATTCTAGGAGTTGGAAAGACATTCAGGGAGTGTCTCTCAGTCGACTCTTCTGGTTGAATTAAGATGATGAGTTATGATGAGGCGGCTGTCCAGAGGATGTTAAATGGATGCCGTCACGAAACAAAAGTTTGAATGGAGACATGTTGGTAATGAAAGAATGTTAATGGAGGCAATAAAAGGCCTGAATGAGCATGGGTTTTTAAAAGTGTTTTCTTTTTCTTTCAATATTTAAATACTTTCTTATTTCCCATCTAAATAAAACGAAGAGACAACTTTAAGTTTGCCAGGAGACTTTATTCCAACTAATTGGAGACAGGGAGAGTTTTGGAAAAACCTAGATTTACAATTAATCTTGGTAACTTTACTTTTAAGAAAATGAAACTATTCTCGTTAAGAATAGAGGGCACACAAAGGCATTTTATTTGGTTTCTTTATAGTGTGCTGGCAAACAGATGTGAAGTCAAACTCAAGTCATGATATGTAAAAGTTAGCAATGCTTAAACACTCACTAGAGACATTATTTAGAGTACATGAAAGTATAGAAAGAGTAATAGAAAGTGAAGAGTCGGAGAGTATAAAGAGAATATTCTTCCAGGGCCAATCAATCAATTGCATTCATATCAGGCCCCGCTACTGTCTCCACATGGAGAGGGGCCTTAACACGGCATCATAATAAAGTAGCAAATTGTCACATAGTGGCCTACTGCCCGTGATATAATGCACAGAGCTCCCATTGTAAGCCAGTGAAAGCTTTACTGTGCTGCTATGCTAGAACTGCTTTTAAATGAAAAACTCTGCATTTGTTCCATTCAGGCTCCAGCAGTAACGGAACAATTTGCAATGAGAAGCACTGGGCATATAGTGTAATCAAATTATCAGTCAAAATATAATTATTGAAACTTTTTCACAATGTATAATGTTTATATCAGTAACTTGTATGTTAATATACACTATTAACACAAATTGATAGTGTGGGGATAGACTGTGGGGAAACCAGAGCATGCGGAGGAAACCTATGCAAACACAGGAAGAACATGCAAACTCCACACAGAAATGCCAACTGACCCAGCCGGCACTCAAACCAGCAACCTTCTTGCTATGAGGTGACATTGCTAACCACTGAGCCACCATGCCACCCACAGCAAAAACAGTAATATAATAATATATAAAAGCATATGATACGAGCCAATTTGAATGTTATCACTTGTTTGATTGGCCATTATCAGTGGTTATCCGGTGATAGAAATGGGCCAGTAGGGGCCTCTTGTGCCTACTAGTAGACTCAGCTCAGTATAATCAGCTATAGATCACATTTGGCTGATTAACCACGAGAATTCTTTATTGCTGATTATTAGCTATTATCAGCAGTCATTATGTAACATTATCATTTGTAAAACACTGTATTTGCTTATTTGGATGCTCAAGAAACATTTATTAATATTTTTATTGTTACTGCAAACAATAACCCTAATT